AGACTCGCTTGAGCCCAGGAGTTGGAGGTTGCTGTGAGCTGTGATGCCATAGCACTCTACCCAGGGGGACAGCTTGAGGCTTTGTCTCAAAAAAAAAAAAAAACCCTCTTGCCTTGTGTTGCCTGTACCAAGATGTTCCTGCTCCCATAGCCAAGGGCCATCGGAATAGTGCTCCCCTCATGTGAACACGCAGCTGCTCAGATGTCACCTTGCTCCCTTTCGACCACCTCCCATTTCTTCAGGCAGACTGGAGCTGTGGTAATAATTAGCACCAACAAGCTGGGTAATCCTTTTTCAGTTAGTGGCTGCATCTTCCAATTTTAAAGGGTTTTGATGTAATCGTGGAGTCCATTTGAAATACTTAAAATCTGTGCTATTAAATAGAATTCTATAAAAGCAGCCTCTGACCCATTCCACAGGGCCCTTTTGTCCTTAGTTCATCAAGTAACACAAGAATCTCTGGTGCTCAGAAGGTCTGGAGAGTTGTGGCAGATCTGTCTAATGGCATAATACTCCTTGAGCCAATATTTGTGTGCAAGTTTGAATACAGACTCCTTTTTGTGAGAAGTCATATCTACATACTATTGGTTGCAAGTTAAATTTTATTTTATTGTGTTTAACCATCATTTACGTAACAAACAAATATTTGTTGACCACTTTTTGTGTGCAGAGCAAGGGATAGGTCCTTATGGTCTTCGGAACTTCTCACTGGCTTTTATTCTTCCTTTTATTGATGGGGGGATTTCATTGGCATTATACTCATTCCGTCTGCCACATCATTAAATACAACCTTAAATGACTAGAACCTGTCGCAGGTCTTTGGGGCCCTCACAGCTGCCTACTTTTTTTTTTTTTTAGAGCTAGAGTTTCACTTTGTCGCCCTCTGTAGAGTGCTGTAGCATCACAGCTCACAGCAACCTCCAGCTCTTAGGCTTAGGCGATTCTCTTGCCTCAGCCTCCCTAGTAGCTGGGACTACAGGTGCCTGCCGCAACACTCAGCTATTTTTGTTGTTGTTGTTGCAGTTTGGCTGGTGCCATATCCAAACTTGCCACCCTTGGTATATGGGGCGAGTGCCCTACTCACTGAGCCCCAGGCACCGCCCACAGCTGCCTCCTTTAATCATTAAGATCTCCAGGAAATATTTCAACTGACCCTACCTGTGGGCTCAAGGCCAACACATTAAAATTAATCCAGTAATACAATTACTGAAGTAAGATGTGTCATTACCATTCCAGTCTCTCTGTAAACTGCACTAATCATTTATTTTTTCTGAAAAGTAATTTTTCAATTCAACTTTAATGGCAATTTGTCAATAACCATCAAATTTACCCTTCTCTAACATCATTACATTTATTTCATCCATAATGTTACTGAGAATCTCTGTGTATTTTTATTACTCTTTTTTTCCCCACTGGTTCATGTTTCCCCCAAAATTTATTTTTTATTTTATTTTATCTTTTTGGTGGCCAGGGCTGAGCTTGAACCCGCCACCTCTGGTGTATGGGGCCAGCGCCCCACTCCTTTGAGCCCCAGGTGCCGCCCTTGTTTCTCCAAAATTTAGAGGTGGTAATCCTGCAAACTGTTCCTTACTCCTACGCTCATTTTAGGTAATGAGCACCCAAACAGTGCTTTGATTTCTACTGATTTTCATTTATTCATTCATTTATTCATGCAGTCAGTAAATATTCCTTTTCTCTGTAGAAACATAGCACTAGGCATTGCAGGAACTTACAGATATGAGTAATACAACTTCTGCCCTTGAAAAGCTTACAAATTGGTGCCAGAGATAGATGAGAAACCAGATAGAGGGAGACAGCTGCTACGAGAAAGGTAAAAGAAAATGTTAAGGAAGGGTAAAGAGAGAATCTACAAATTTTGCCTTGATGGATTAAAAGGTTTCGTGGGAAGGCAGCCGTCTGAACAGACCCAAATACACACGTATAGTAGAATTTGAATAACTGGTGATAGAGGAGAGGTGTGGACTCTGAACTGTAGCTGCAACATACCCCTACAATGCAGGGATGTGACGGTGAATAGAATAATTTGCTAGTTTGGATGCCTTGGTTATCCACCTGCCAAGTGAAGATGACTGAAAAGCAAACTTCATCTCTTAAGCAGTGTTCAAGAAATGCCCAGGCAGGGTCCGGAGGTATGTTGCCTTCCTCTCTCTCGCATTATCATCTTTTACAATTTTCCTCCCAAATCCCCCACATGAATGGCCATGCATGGCAGTTGCTCCCGAAGTCTCTCTTCTCCTAAGCTCTCAGGCCTCCAAAACATCCTCCCAGCCTAGGCTCTGTACACGCTTTTGTTTCCAGTCTCTTTTTCTAGCTGTATTTTTTTCTTCCATCAGTAGCCCTCTGTTCTTTCTACTGCAAATTCATCTAGCTTTGCTTCTCCAGTCCTGTTACTCATTACTCTCATCTTTTTTTTTTTTTTTTTTTTTTTTTTTTTTTTTTTTTGAGACAGAGTCTCATCTGTAGCCCTGGGTAGAATGCTGTGGCGTCACAGCTCACAGCAACCTCAAACACCTAAGCTTCAGCGATTCTCTTTCTTCAGCCTCCTGAGTAGCTGGGTCTACAGGTGTGTGCCACTATGCCTGGCTAGTTTTTCTATGTTTAGTAGGGACAGGGTCTCACTCTTGCTCAGGCTGGTCTCAAACCTCTGAGCTCAAGCAATCCACCCACCTCGGCCTCCCAGAGTGCTGGGATTACAGTTGTAAGCCACCACACCTGGCCACCCTCATCTACTTTATAAAGGCCTCGGAGTCAACAGTTGCATCCATCCCAGAGGGCGGGAAGGTCAGGGACTGACCCCACTGACGTTTTGCTTTTGTGGGTTCTGTTGTCCTGCATAAACAACATATAAAACAAAGCACTGGTGGGGTCAGTCCTTGACAGCCCCCTCTGGGATGTGACTGTTAAACAATTCCAACCCCTAATGGGCTGGAAGAAGAGAAGTGCCAAAAATATCCCTGTTTTCATAATGTTTCCCTTTTACATTTGGAGGAAAAACCCATACGTATGCCTTATGTGTTTGCTACTGAAGGCAAAAAACAAAGCATTTGCTGTAGATAAGACAGGATGGACTGTGAGTGGATGTAGTGAGGAGGCTGCAGAGAAAGCAGCACGAGCTGCTCTCTGGGGAGTGGCCACTGTGCACTGGAGTCTGTGGCTGTGAAGACCATGCTGGGAAACCTGGAGCTCATTCCACAGCCCTTAGGGCCATGGCCAGTCAGTGACTAGAAAAGCAGACATGCTGAGAGTGTACTCTAGGTTCTACCTGGAAGATGGATGCACATAAAAGGGGTTGGCTAAAGGCAGGAATGCCGACGAGGAAGAGGAAGAGTCCAGTTGGAAAGTGCTCAGGACCCGTCATGAGGAAGAGAGGCTTATGCAGATCATTTTGATATAAGATGTTTGTTTATAGGATGTGCAGAGGTGAGAACAGGAATTACATCTTCAGGATCCACCTTGCTCTGGAATAGAGGACTCCCTCTGTCTTCAGTCTCTCCCCTAAACTTTGTGTCTATTCCACTCTCCTCGTGGGCTCCAAGGCCATTCTCTCCTTAGCTTCACATCCAAACCACAGAAACCTTTCAGTTCAGTTCATTAAATCAACCCTCTCGGCATCCTCAGTCAGCAGCCCCCAGTGCACAATCCTTTCCTGACTGGACACCTGCCGGGCAAGTGGGGAAAGAGCAGTTTGACACACCCAGCACCATAATTAATATTTCTGCTGCTAGTGTGGTCAGAGAAAAGGAGGTCGCTTTTATCTTAGACCAAAAGTAAGAAAATTAAGTACCAGTCTTCATTGTGCTACAGCTGGCACTGTAACCTTGACCAAGTCACTTATCTTCTTATGCCTGATTTTGTTCATCATTCAAATGGAGATAAAAGGAACAGCACTGAACAGTAATTCAGTCTTCTTCGGAATGACTAGCCACACTTAGTTAACGTGAGGTTTTACTTCTCTGCCACATCTGGTTAACTAAGAATAACAATACCTTACATGTGTAATTAGAGTCTGAACAGCAAGTTCATGCCCTTTGGGTGTGATCCTCACAAGAACCCCTTAAGGTAGGTAAGACAACATCATTACCTCCATTTTCCTGAGATACAGAGAGATTACATGACTTATTGAAGGTCACCCAGCTATTAAGTGACAAAGCTAAGACTAGAAATCTCGTCTGCAAACCCCAAGTCCAATGTCTTCTCGTGCTGCCTCCCAAGGTTCGGGTTACTTGGTCTTGCAGAAGCTGTTGTGCAGGGCAGATCTGTTCTAGATACCAAAATTATTGTCTTCCTGCTCTTTCTGTTGCCATCTGCTTAGTTTTTTTACATGCCTCTCCTGTTGTTCTATATTTCTGATTTATCACAGGGGTCTGTTTGGCTTTTAGTAACGAAAGGTTCAGTTACTTGTGAAAGTTCCATTGCTTCCCTTGGATTGATCCTTGCTTCCTGGATTGCAGGGACACACTTCATCACCGTCACTACTCTCATCTCAGCGGGGAACATTGGGGAGGATGGAATCCTGAGCTGCACCTTTGAACCTGACATCAAGCTTTCTGGTATCGTGATACAATGGCGGAAGGAAGGAGTTACGGGTTCGGTCCATGAGTTTAAAGAAGGCAAAGATGACCTGTCAGGCCAGGATGAAACGTTCAGAGGCCGGACAGCAGTGTTTGCTGATCAGGTGATAGTTGGCAATGCCTCTCTGAGACTGAAAAACGTGAAACTCGCGGACGCCGGCACCTACCAGTGTTACATCAGCACTTCCAAAGGCAGGGGCAATGCTGACCTCGAGTACAAGACCGGAGGTGAGTGACTTTTGGCGAGAGGGAGGAAGAAAGCACTAAAAGATGTTTGAAGTTAAAGGTTATGACGTTAGCCTTTCTGGGGCTTTGGCAAAGGTTAGGATGAAATATGTTGTGCTCGTGAATGACCAATGTCAGACAAACGCCTCCCAATTCTGCTAGCACACATCCTGGCCATTTTTTGCCCAAGATCCATACCCACTCCTAAAGTAGCTGACTAGAACATAGGCCTTAAAATCGTTTATCCGGGCTATTGCTGCTTCTGAATTTCCAGGTATTCTCACTAAAATCATTGTAGTTTCTTTTATGGTAGTTCTTAATACTACCACTGAAAGAAGCCTCAAAAATCTGGCCTGGGGTGTTTCTCCGCTAAGCAGGCCCAGGCCCAAGTCTGAAAACAGTTCTAGAGATTCACGGCAGTGCACTCATTTTAGAAGAAGTTTGAAGAGAACTAACCAAAACAACATAGTCCTAAAAACTCACTAATTCTTTCCTCCCCAATGACATCCACCCTTTCTTGCCAACCCAACGTGTGTTTTCTGAATTTGTGTGCAAGGACTCAGATAGATTCCCTGAGGAATATAAAGATGAGTGGCCCTCCTGTCCCAGAGCCCAGTGTCGATCTTACAGAGTTGAGGGTTGGCACAAGGATAAAGCATGTAAACGGAAGGATAATCAGTAAATTGCATCCAATGCTTTAAGAGAAATCTGAGTAGAGCGACTCAGAGATTCAGAGGAAGAGAGGGATCACATCCACGTACACAGGAGGAAAGGTCAGAAAAGTGCCGTGGAGGAGACGGCATTTGAGAGAGCCCTGAAGGGCAGGCAGAAAGTGCACAGAGCCCTCCCAGCCTGACTTAGCCTGCACCGCCCTTTCTCGGACAGCTCATAACATGGATATGTAATTACACATACTCGAAGCACAGATCTAGAATCAGAACTGTGTAGGTACAGTGGCCGAGCCAGGCTGTATCTCTGAGCCGCAGTTTCTTCATCTTAAAATGAGCATTAACGAGGTCCTGTCAAGGGACACTGGAACCAACTGAAAGAGCTTTCACTGGCAAAATTTCAAAAGAGCTTCTACTGGCAAAGCTAGAACAATGTAAGCAACAAAAGAAATAATATAGTATGGAGCCCAAACTCAAAGCATAAAAAACACACATGACTCCATACTTACACGAATAAATAAAGGAAATTAAACAAATCTTTACATATGAATTCTGAATAATTTATTTAGATTTCTCCCCCTCCAGGAGGTGGAGCTAATACCTTCCCCTTCCCATTCAGGTGTGCTAGACTTAATGAAGTTTAGCTTCCAAAGAAAGCTGTACACTCCTTCAGCCAAGAGACGAAGGTTACCATCGTTATGACCAGTCATGCTGATAACAGGCCCCTTCTGATGCAGTGTGATGAGGAGGCACTTTGCCTCCTGTCGTCTTCCTCTCCCAAACCTGGGGCCTCCGTCCAGTCATGAGAAACACATCACACTAATTCCAATAGAGGGCCATCCTGCAAAATGCCTGAGCCATTCTCCTCAAAACTGCTAAGGTCATAAAAAACATGGAAAGTTGAGGATGTCGTGAACGAGAGGAACCTACGGAGGCATTGTGGTATCCTGGATGGGATCCTGGAACAGGGAAAGAGCATTAGTGCAAAAACTGGAGAAAATCCAATGACGTTTGGAGATTAGTTGATAGTAATGCACCAAGGATAGTTTCTCAGTTTTGACCAGTGCACCGTGGTTAAGAAGTTGACTTCAGGGGAAACTGGGTGAGGAGTATACAACTCTCTAAACTATCTTTGCAACTTTTCTGCTCATCTAAGATTATTCCAAGATTAAAAGTTTATTTTTTTAAAGGGAGGTGATAATATCCACAGGATTATTGTGAGAATCAAACAAAACACCACTGGCACAGAGTACACCACCTTCAGTGAATGGTGACTCACTGTCTGGTAAACTCCCTTTCTCACATCATCTCCCAGGAGCTCGTTCCCTGCTTCCTCCAGGCAGGCAGGTGGGTCTTGTCTCCCCCGCGAGATGACAGGCTCATTAAGAGCAAGGCAAGGGCTTTCCTTTCACCACTCACTCAGCACCAGCCACATCCTGGGTAAAAGAAGATGCTAAATATTAGTAAATCAATAAATTGTATTTTGCCATTATGGCCTTAACATTTTCATAAGCATCTCTCTACCTAGATATAGGGTGAAGCTAGTCTTAATTTCAAAATGCAGTTTCCCTCCCCAGAGAGGAGAATTATCTTAGAAGAAAACAAATGCCTATTTCTTTCCCTGGATACCAGGGCTGGACATTCTCCGCCCAAGTCCCCACTATGACAAGGCTTGTGTATGGAATTTCTTTTTTACTTTTCTCTCTCTCTCTCTCTATTTTTTTTTTTTTTTGAGATGGAGTCTCACACTTTATTACCCTGGGTAGACTGGGTAGAGTACTCTGAGGTCAAAACTCATAGCAACCTCAAACTCTCGAGCTTGAGTAATGCTCTTGTCTCAGCTTCCTTAGTAGCCAGACTACAGAAGCCCACTATTACACTTGGCTAGTTTTTCTATTTTTAGTAGAGACAGGGGCTTGATCTTGCTTGGGCTGGTCTTGAACTCCTGAGCTCAGGCAATCCACACACCTTGGCCTCTCAGAGTGCTGGGATTACAGGCGTGAGCCACCGAGCCCAGGCTGTATGGAATTTTTGTGGGTGATAGGTCAATGCTGTTTATTTTTTCCTTCTCCCTCTCCCTTCCCTTCCTAACTTTATCCTCTAGGCAATAAAACACATAAAATTCTCAAGGCTTCATAAGTCCCTGGAAAAATGCCCAATTTCCATAAAGAATAGCTTTTTTGGTGATCACTAGAGCCCCTCTTACTTAGAGAAAAGGATCTGTTGTAGCAATAATATACCTAGAACTTGGTATGTTATGATATACCTAGGTCTTGGGGTTTATAATATTGACGAAAGGATCATGATGTATGCCAATACTATGACCAAATACTTATTTTCATCTACAATACAATGAACCATATACACATGGACTCCTGAAAAGTACTGAGTTACTTCAACAGTGGAAATGACTGTGGTTGTAAGACTTCAAAGGCTATCTTGTCTTATCTGTCTGACCCTCACATCTCACCTGCCCCTTTTGACCTTTGACCTTGCAGCCTTCAGCATGCCAGAGGTGAATGTGGACTATAATGCCAGTTCAGAGAGCTTGCGGTGTGAGGCTCCCCGATGGTTCCCCCAGCCCACTGTGGTCTGGGCGTCCCAAGTGGATCAGGGCGCCAACTTCTCAGAAGTCTCCAACACCAGCTTTGAGCTGAACTCTGAGAACGTGACCATGAAGGTTGTGTCTGTGCTCTACAATGTCACAATCAACAACACATACTCCTGTATGATTGAAAACGGCATTGCCAAAGCCACAGGGGATATCAAAGTGACAGGTGGGTTCCTCCATACTTTTTGTATGGATTTACATGGGGGGAGAATAATGCCTAAATTAAAAGCCAATTTCTTTAGTAGACATATTATATACCAGGGCAAAAAAATCTCTAGAATCCTCCTTCCTATGACCCTGATCATAATTCTAGGAGGGATTGCATTACCTAAGAGGAAAGCTAACAAAGACATGTGTGGCATATTAAGGTTCATCTTGTGTGCCTTCTCACTGATTGGTTATCTGGAGAGCAGAGTTTAGGGTTCTGAGGCTCTAACTCAGGAGGACTACTTTGGTGTAGTAGTGGGGATGTGATAATTATTCAACACCTTTGATATGTCAGCTAGTGTACTAAAACCTAAGCCCCTTAAAACTGCTTTGGCCAAATTTGAGAAGGCTTTGAATCTAAAGTCTAAATGTCTGGACTGTGACTTAGTCTTATTTATCCCTTATGAGACGAATTCATGATCCCCAGAATTTTGGCCCTGGATTAATCTGAAACCTCTAGATTGAACTGGGCTCCCTGCATCCTGGCTAAGAACAGGCTGACGTGACCCAGCACTGTAGTCTCCCTGCAGTGTTTCAGTGAATAGAAAACCTAGGGTTGAGCTAGTATCAAGCAAATGCATACACTGAATTACGACTTTTAAAATCATCCCTCCTGGTGCTAAATTGGATTCAAACTATAGTGCAAGAGTATGTTAGGAGTCTGCTATCTGTATCAAGCTTAGAACTGAGCAGAAAATATCTTGCCCATTGTAAGTACCCTATAAATGTTTGCTGAATTTAACTGAATGAACCCTATTATCAGATTTTTAAATTTAAAATTGTATATACACACATGTAAACCCCCAAATATGTGCAAATATGACATATCAACTTTAAAAAATAATACAACTATGTATATAAATATAAAAGTAACCTATAGAATGAGAGAAAATATTTGCAAATCATATATTTAATGAGGGATTAATACCCTGAATATATAAAGATTTCATACAACTTTAACTCAACAGCAAGAAAATGAAATAATCCAATCTAAAAATGGGCGAAGGATTTGAATAGAGATTTACCCTAAAGATGATATGTAAATGGCAAGAAGTCACATGAAAAGAGGCTCAACATTGCCAATCACCAGAGAAATGCAAATCAAAACCACAAAGAGATGTCATCTAATACCCATTAGGATGACTACTATTAAAAAAGAAGCAGAAGAACATAAACGTTGGTCAGGATGTAGAGAAATTAGGACCCTCATCTATTGTTGGGGAGGCTGTGAAATGGTACAACTGCCATAGAAAACAGTAGGAGAGGGTCCTTGAAAAATTAAAGCCAGAATGACCATATGACCTAGCAATCCCACTTCTGGGGATATATCCAAAAGAAGTCAAAGCAGGGTCTAAAAGAGATATTTGCACATCCCTATTCACAAGAGGTAGAAGCAGCCCAGAATGTCCATCAGTAGATGACTGGATAAACAAAATGTGGTAAATACTTAGAATGGAGTATGAGCCTGAAAAAAGGAGGGAAGTCCTATCCCCTACCACCACCTGGGTGAAGGTTTAGGACATTATGCTAAGTGAAATAAGTCATTCACAAAAAGACAAATACTATATGTTTATACTCAGATGAGGCATCGAAAGTCATCAAATTCACAATGATGGTTACCACGAGTGGGGTGGTGGAGGTGGAGGTGGAGGAGAGAAGGGTTGTTGCTTAATTGGTATAGAGTTTCAGATTATAAGATGAAAAAGTTACAGAGATCTGTTTTACAACAATGTGTGTATACTTAACACTACTGAACTGTACATTTAAAAATGGTTAAAGAAAAAAAATGGTTAAGGTGGTACATTTTTTGTTTTAACTACAATTTTTTAAAGTATCTAATAAAAAAGTATATATATGAGAAAGAGAGAGAGAGCTCTTCCACCATCTTGAGGAATGAAGTGGCGACTATCCTGGTTAGGGCTCTTAGTTCCTATAACTATGACAGAAAATTAACTCAAATAACTTAAAAGGGTGATGGATTAAAAGGGTAGTGAGATGTCTCATGGAACCAAAGACAGAAAGTACAGTTGACCCGAGGAACCGCTTGAACCGGGGACCCAGTAACTTCAGTTCCAATTGGATTCCTCTCATTCCTATTTTCTTTACGCTCTCATTTTAGTATATGTGGCAAAATGTGCTTTCCAAGAGCTCCTATGTTTAAAAATCTCTCTCCCTTGAGAGAGTGACCAGACTGAGCCTCCAAACATCAGTCTCCTTCTACTTCCCAAGAAGGACTTTGGTTCAATTTGGGTCAACTGCCCAGCAAGGCAGTGTCCGATGAAAGGTCTTCCCAGAAAAGAAGCAGAGAACAAAGCATTCCTTTAAAACAAGGGGTGTTGACATCTCAGTTTGATGTCACTAAAAAATTCCCAGCTGTATAACTACTGTCTTCTAATAGCAGAGTGAATAACCGCACAAAACAAAGCAGCAAGCGCACGCTTTATTCAGCGAGCAGACCCTCTTTCCTTCCGTGTTTGTTGCATACTTCAGAACAAGTGTTCCGAGTGTCAACATTAGGACGAAAGACAACTTGAAGTAGCTCGAAATTTTAAATGATCACAGAATTTCTTCTTTCCATGCGCAAAGTAGGTGTCCCATGCATGTTTTAAAATGATTAAATGGGGTCATGGCATTTATATTCTGTGTTTTCTGACTATTCTGCTAATTTAGGCCATTCATGAAACAATTATCTATTGTGCGCCAGGTATGTTCAGAGCACTTTTTAAGCTCCATAAGCCACTGAGATGAGCAGTGCAAGTATCATAGCAGAAGTTAATCTCAGTGTAGCTTTGGTACCTAAGGGAAAGAGCTGTTAATTAGGACTGCAGTGGAGCAGGAGACAAGGTGGAGTTCAAGCTGGCTTTTAAAGGAGGGAAAAAATCATTTTGATAGAATAGAAAGTCCAGTAGTCCAAGGGAGAAAATTTGAAGGTATTAACTGGGCAGTGGTATTGGAAAAGAAAAGGGAGAAGAATCGAAAGTTTCTTGAACAAAATACTGTCCATGCCTTAGAGATGCAAATGTGAAGGTCAAGAGGAATAACAAGTCAGCCTGGGTTTGATAGTTCTACTCAGGATGCTTAGGAGATGAGAAATGCTCCCATCAACACAATGAAAACACAGGCGCAACATGGAGAGGAGGGGCAAGATGAGGGTTTTAGAGACGTTGCATTTAAAATCCCCACAGTGCTTACTGCAGTGGCTCACACCTGTAATCCCAGCTGCTTGGGAGGCTAAGGCAGGAGGATTGCTCAAGCCCAGGGTGGAGACTAGCCTGGACCAGCTACAACATAGTGAAACCCTTAACCTTGAAAGTAAATAAAATGAAATGCCCATGGTACACCCAAGTGGAGACACCCACTGCTTAGCACAGTGCCCAGACGTGATAGGTTTGGGGGAGAATGCTACATCTCTACTCCCCGTGTTTCCTTCAGTGTGACCTTCTCGGCCTTTCTCTTCCTCCCTCTTTCCCTCTTCTCCAGAGGAGGAGGGATTTATCTGAATGGAGAGCACACTGCGGGAAGGTGGACATGGGTGGCTCAGCTCCTTCCCTTTCTCTTTAGCTGACTCTCAGGAGGTACATACACATTCTGCCCTGCTCCTCCAACCAGGAGTCTTGCAGAGTGGAATCTGTCTTTAACAGGGAAAGCCTGCCCCAGTCTGCTTCTGTCTGTCCCTGGGGAAGTCCAGGCTGTGCCCACTTACCTACCTATAAAGCCTTGTTCCTTATTATCAGATTTTTCAGCAATGAAGGTGATATCTGGGTCTTCCAATTGCCTTCTCTGTAATTGGTTCAGAGCCAAGGTAAAGAAGTGGGTGTTATTTATTGGACTCCTTTCATTGAACCCCAGCGTGGGTAACTCAGAAATATTTACTGAATGTTTTTAACTGGTGTATCTAGTAGCAGCTGGACATCCAGATGTGGACCTCAAGACAGGCTTTAAGGAAGCAGATTTAGAAATAATCAGCACAAATGTAATGCTTATTATGCTTGAATAGAGTTACTATTATTGTTATTTGTCTGGCTTATATTTATTGAGTGCAGACTAAGAGCCAGGTACTGTTCTAATTGCTCTATGTGTATTAACTCATTTTAATCATCATAAATGCCCTAGGAAGTAGGTTACTATTATTTTAGCTCCATTGTATAGGTGAACAAATGAGCAGATATTTAGTAACTTACCTAAAGTCACAGAGCCAGTAAGTGATAGAGCTGAAATTACATGAGAGGATTGTCTGGGGAGGAAATAAATCAGAAGAAGAGTAATTTCATTTCTTTGCTTCTGCTTTTCTCTACTCCAAAATGAGAACAATACTTCCTTGCCACTTTCTAGCTGTGTGATGAAAACTAAGGACACAGATGCTGAAAAGATCACTGCCTAGAGGAAAAATACATCAGAATCCGAGGACTGGCCCTGGCTGGCTGTTCAGCCTATTATCTCTTTATTAGTCTAGTTTTTCATCTGGCTGAGTGCTTACTGGAATGGACCACAGAATGGAACTGCCTTTCACAAAAGGGAAAGCTCTTCTTTTAAGCCAATTGCAGAAAGGTGGAGAAAGGGGGAAAAAGTTGCCTGTATGAGGGACAACTTGTTCTGTTTGGGGGGAGTTTTCTTTACTCACCAGTCGTATGAAGAGGACGTGAAGCTGCACCTATAGGATCCTGAACTTTTTTCTCTCCCTCTACAGACTCTGAGATCAAAAGGCGGAGTCACCTACAGTTACTGAACTCAAAGGCTTCTCCATGTGCCTCTTCTTTCCTTGTCATCGGCTGGGTACTCCTGCCCCTCTCCCCTTGCCTGATGCTCAAATAATGTACCTTGGCCACACAAAAGAATGCAAAGTCATTGGTCCAACAGGTGAGAAGGATGACAAGTGGTGCAGGAGACTGGTTCTGTGTGTGCCTGAGCTCCTAACAAGAGTCAAGCAGCCGTCAGTGTCAGCCACAAAAAGAAACAGCTCCAGTAGAATTGTGAAAGGCAATCGTTTGTTAGCTTACCGATTAGTGTAGACCTCATTGGCAAACTTATAGGAGAAACTGTTTACAATTCAAATATTTGTGTAAACTCAAATGCCTTTTAATTTCCTGAGTCATCAACAAAGTGAAAAGTATCTTACTGAAGAGAAAGAGATGTGTAGCCCTGATGAGTTACCCTGGGTTTCACTGTGATTTATAAAACATAATGACATGCACATAATCACTCCCATAAGTGACCTCTCTCTCCCACCCTTCCAGCAAAGCCCCTGTTGACAGGATTGCTGGCCGATGACTCACCAATTAGCTCTCCTGCTGTGAGACTCTGTCGCTCCAGTCCTCTGGCTCCAGTAATTGTCAGGACATTTCCTTCTGGATCTTCTTCTGCATATGAAATGTGTGTAAAGCAGAGATGGGAAAGTTCCAGTCAACACTCCCACATTGCTCAAGGGCATCCGCACCACGCCTGCAGGCTCACAGCCTTAGAGCCGCTTTGCCTCCCTCTTATGTCAATTCGTCACCACCCCCTGTTGTCTCTCAGGTGGACCCTAATCCAGCCTCCATCGTTTTGCACCAGACTAGCTCTAAGACCCTGTGCTTGCTCCACCCTCTCCCTGTTTCAGCTGATGGGGAAACATGGTGCCAGAATCAAAGCATTCAAACATTGTCTATATCACAGCATTCCTTTGTCCGACTCTCTGGGCACTACTGCAGCCAAGTTAAAGACCCTGCCTTCTCAGTGTCTCTCCCTGAGCTTCCCCCTGCTCTCAGTTTCCTGCCTCTACTCTGGCCTTCCCTCTCACCCTGCTCCTTCCTGGGTATCTCCTCCACCCTATCGCAATTCATGTCCACTACATCCTTCACCCATTTCCGGAAAATCTTTCCTAGCTTATAGCTCCCTTTCCTGGGGGTCTTTGTGTTTTTCTGGTTTTCTTTTCTTCCTTTTTTTTGAAACAGAGTCTCACTCTGTTGCCCAGGCTACAGTGTCATGGCATCATCATAGCTCACAGCAACCTCAAACTCCTGGGCTCAAGTTGTCTTCTCAAGGTGCTAGGATCCACAGGCAAGAGGCACTGTTCCTGACCTACAAAGCAGATTTCTTTTTCTTTAGACAGAGTCTCACTCTGTCACCCTGGGTAGCATGCCATGGCATCAGTAGCTAACAGTAACCTCAGACTCCTAGGCTCAAGTGATCCTCCTGCCTCAGTCACCCCGATAGCTGGAACTACAGATGTCTGCCACAAAGCCAGGCCAGTTTTTCTGTTTTTAGTAGAGATGAGGTCTCACTCCTGCTCAGGCTGGTCTAGAACTCCTGAACTCAAGTGATCATCCCACCTTCACCTCCCCAGGGCTAGGATAACAGGCGTGAGCCCCCATGCCTGGAGAGTCTTTCTATTTTACATCTTGGCATGCATGCATAATTTATATCTTATTACCCTCTAAGGCGCATACATCCCTTGCCTAGATTGTTAAGTCCTCAGGGGCAGACATAGATCTACTTTTCTGCTTCTTTTCATTGTTTGGCTTATTCTCCAAGCCTTACTACAGTGCAGTACACAAAGTAGACTCTTCGTAAGGAAACCCTCCGGTTTCCATAATTTCCAGTCCTCCGAGGTTGTCAGTAGAGAGAGATTTCCCTAAGGAAACTGTCCCTCGGGGATCTTACTCATAGAAGAAAGAACATTTTCTTCTTTCCTTGATTCCCCACAATGTAATTGAGCTTTTACCAACCTGCATCTAGATGATATGACCCAGATAGTACAGTTGATTCATCGTCACCCTGGATTCCCTTAGAATAATAACCAGCAGCCTTTTCTTTAAAAGCTGTGACTTGGGTGTGATGGATGGTGTTCCATGCAGTACACGGGGGTCTTACACAGTTTTTACCCCTGAGCTGCAGCTCCACCTCTTCCTCCCTAGAACCACAGAGGAATAACCTTGAGTTAAGTAGATTTTTTTAAACTAAACAATTAGATCATTATTTGCAACATGTATTATAATGAATTGTGACATTTTAAATCAAGTGTGCTCTCAGGGTGGGAACTGAGGCAGAAACTGTCTTTCCACCTCTACTCAGGAGCCTGCCCAGAATCCCTCTCTCAGCCCCCGTTTGCTCTGAGGACCTGTCTCACCCCTGAGACTGCCCCTGGGATGATACCCTTATGGAGAGATTCGAGCCATCTCTCTCCCCCCAGCAACCCACCGTGGCCTCAATAAACCAACATCAAAATACAGAAAAATAAGCCCATTTCTAAATAAGACACACACTCCCACAGTGGCTGGGACACTCTCAGGTCGCAGTAAATGTTTGCTGAATGGACTTAATGGTATCTTATTGCTGTTATTTTCAGAATCCCAGGAATCTACAGAACTTTTTCACCACCAGCTATGACCTAGTTTTATATTTCTGTGGGAAAATGAATTCATCTCTGGAAGTCTGGAGTGTACAAACAAGAACCAAGAACAAAAAGAAGCTAAAAGCAGCCATCAAAGACTCCAGTATGAAAGATAGATCTATCTTTAAGGACATTAGAAGTTATGAAAATCGTTCATCTGAACCAGAGAAGTGTGTCATGACTGTTAAGTAAAATGCCCATGGAGATAAGCGTATCCTCAGATCTCGGGGACCTGCCCTTGCCTGTCATCTCTTGGGGAGCGAGAGGCTGGGATACTGCACGTCTGTTGTGTCTGAATCCTTAATTATATGTTCCGTAATGTTGCTCTGACGAAGTGCTTAGAAAGTTTCGGTCACAATATAGCCACATCTATGCCACAAATTGAACTGTAGTGTATGCTGTGAGAAGCTGATTCAGCTGCTATGTCACAACTCAGGGTGGTTGCATTTCAGTGATGGGTCAAATGGTTCACTTTTCTTTTTTTTTTTTTTTTTTT